TAATGCTGGGGAAAAAAAGAGGGTGGAGAGGGCTGGGAGCAACAGATAGCAAAAGCGAGCAGCAGTGTATAGTTCTTTTAATGTTTTTGTTTGTTTGTTTGTTTGTTTTTCTGGAATGAGTATCTCTGGACTAGATGCCATGCAAATGCTTCTGGCTCTGAATCATTCTAGCTGTATGGCTTCTAGACCTGGAGTTGCCTGGCATAGAAAGCACAGAGGTGAAACCTGCTCACCTGAGAGGTTGTCTGCTGAGACAAAAGGTGAAACCTGCTCAACCTGAGATGTTGTCTTCTGTGAGGAATTCAGCCACACTGAACACAGCTGCATGACTTACTGATACAAGTTTTGCTCAAAGTTGAAAGAAAAACATAAATCCTAAAACACAGCTGTGCTAAAAGAGTGATCCAAGTATTGAGAGAAGGCTTTGAAAGTTGGTTCCCATTTCCTGAGCTATATTGGGCTGTGTGGCTCTATAAACCTGGAAGGTGATGAAGTCAGACCTCTAGCAGATCAAGGGCACTGTGTGCACCAATATGAAGTATACCAGCTGTGCCCAGTTTTTACTACTTCTGAAATACTTGTTATAATCTGCTACTATGCTCTTAGGCTCCCCTGGTTGCAGTTTAGTCCTTTAGGGAAAGCTAAAAATCAGACTGTTGAGGATTGCTTTAAGTTGATGCAAGTGTAGGCTACTGTCAAGATGGATGATGACGACTCTGGTCCTCTACCTCATCTTGGCACTAGTATGTGTGCAGCTGTGTAGTAAGATGGAGCTAAAATATGCTTTTTTAAAGCTTTATTCTCTGTCTTGTTTTCACAGCGTTCCTTGTGTCAAAACACACAGTTTTAGCTGGGAGGGTCTAGGAATAAAGGGGAGTTTCCTTCTTTTCAGCAGAATGGACTCTAGATTCACTTAAAATAGCTGTCAAATTGAAACTTTAGGTTGGGTTGGTCTCTGGCCTATGGTAAGTGGACTGCTGTTTCTTTATCTGTAGCCAGTCTTTGTGATTGTCTCTCTAGGTAGGGTCTGTTTTCTAGTTTGCTGGTTATGTTACAGCATAAATTATAGTTGTATTTTGTTTGCAGATCAGATTTTTTAGTATTGCAATAAGGAAATGTTAAAGGCAAAAATAACTTCTCTTGTGTTCATTTTTTTATGATTAGTAATTGATACATACTGTGATTTTAGGCTAGCTCTGTTTATGACTTAAGGCTTAATGTAGCTGACATGAAGCCTTATGCATTCAAGCATGTTGTGCAAAAGCTGCATTTAAACCTATTCTCTATTTTAAACCATTGAATTTTGAGGTGTTCTTGTGTTGGGCTTCATGTTTAAGAAGGAAGGATTGACAGTCTGAAACTTGGTGGAACTGTGGAAGTTATAGTCTTTACAGCATTTAGAGCCTTGGCTACACTTCGTGTTATGACGCATGAGTTTTAACTAAGCCACCTCCCTAAGAGAAAAAAAAAAAAGATGTCTTTTTCCACAAATACTGGTATATACAGTCTTGCCTCTGGACTCTGGTGAGAAAAGAATTTGTTGCCATACTAACAACAGATGTCTGTTTGGAATCGACAGAAGGGAATAATCTAAACACAATGCTAAGGGATTTGGTTAAATGCTTGCGAAGTAGTTTTTTTCTTCCTGATTCTGTCACTACAGTCTACCAGTAACAGTAATTCCTAGAGCTCAGGAGTCTGAGTTGGCAATAAATGCTTTCCCAAGTTTGAAATTACAGGACTTGCTTGAGCTGTGCTGGTGCAAGTCAAGTCTGTCAAACGTTGCAGCCATAAGGAGGAATAGCTCACAGCCTCTACTGGCCTTGATTTATTATAATTTAAATAAGCTTCTTCTGAACTTCGCAAATTTAATGAAAGTGAATGATGTGCCTATTTGTAAAATGTCAGTAGACTGGCTGACTGAAACAGTGCTACAGAATGGCCTGCAAACTGCAGATATTTCCTGCTGCTACTGAACTGTAAAGGGATGGGCGAAAGATGACTAGTCAGACCTTCATTGTAGGCAGCAGGCGTGCAGTCCACAGACATTCTTCAGGCTGAAGAAATACTTCATTCCTATCATGACTTCATTACTAGCTAATAATCAATGGTTACAATAATAGAGACCTTGGATTTATGAGTTCTTCTATACACAACGATGGGCCATCAAGTCCCTGTGCATCTCCTGTATATTGAGCTTGTTCATATCCCAGAACTGCAGGCCTAGTAAGGTAGCTTGTGACTGTCCTCTGCCAGTGTAGACATAAAAGGACAAAAAACTGTTGAAGCCTTAACTGAAATAGTTGTCTTCTGAATAAGACTTAAAATGGGTCAATAGACATAAACGGGAATCTTCTGTTTTAATGTAGTTAATTATTTAATCTGGATTGTAAAAACATTAACGGGGGATAGAGCTCTGATTTCTGACCTTTTTAGGCTGAGGGACAAGCATCCTTTTGCATATCTACTACAGGTCACTTGGAATGTTTTCAACTGAAAAAGTAAGAATGACAAATTGTTCAGTAGCTGTGTGGACATAAGTCAGTCTGTGGAAAGGCTGCTTTCCACAAATACGGCCTATCCTTGAATAGAGCTTGGAGCTTAAATGGCTGCTCTAGTGAGAAGATGCTGCGTGCTGAGCACTGGTTAACACTTCTTGATGCATTTGAAGAATGCTGAATTCATGAGAGCTTCTGTTTTGGGAATAATAATGCAGTGACAGAATAATAGTGATACTATTTTTCTAAAAAGAAAAAAAAGAAGCACAATGTTTAGATCTTTTGCAAGAAATTTGTGAAGTTGCTTTTGTAAGAAACTTACGAAGTACATGGATAGGGTAGCAAATGCTTATTTTTGAGTCTCGAGTTCTATGTAACAATGTTCTTATAATCAAAATATGATCTGACATGACTGTCTCTACATACACTTAATACATATCTGTTCTCCATTAATGATGAGTGTCATTGCTGTTTAAAAAACATATGTTTGCCATAAGCTTAAAAAGAAAATAAAGAAATGTATTTTTTTCTTATTTTTGCAGGGTAACTTACAGCTGCTGCAGAGCTGCCTGGCAGTGTTAAATGGTGACACATAAGCTACGCTCCGTCCTCCCACTAACAAGGGCTGCCCTCCTCTGGATTTTGTTTTCATGACTTTAAATAGGCATTTACAGTTCCCTGGAGAAATCATTTGACCAAGTGCACATAAGCAAGCTCCTCCTTTCAAAAGAATTAAAACAGACACCTGAAAGTAGCTCCAGACTATACGAAGCAACAGCATACTTGTTATTCATAAATATTCATGTTTATTTAATCATTATATGCTTTCATTGTTCAGAAACCAAATGCTCTGTTTTTGTGAAGCTAGCCAATATGTTCATGTTATGAATACTATGATACAGCTGCCAATCTTATTTACCTTTGTAAGTAATTTCTGAAGTTCACCATTTGAAGTACATTGTTCAAATGGCTTAAATATTACCATTAGATATTTGAATATTGTTACTATAATGCATTGTATACACTGTCTTAGGTTTTTTTCCATGTACTGATATCAAGAAATTTAATCATTTTTTTTCAATTGTGAACATTTCTTAGAAGTTTTGGAGAACTTTGTGTAACCTTTATAACTATGATTTAAAAGGAAAAGCAAATACATTAGTATGTTTGCCTTAACTTGTAGACTAATCCAATTATTGTAAAATAAACCATGAAATCAATGATTTTTCTAAAATTATGCAGACACTGTATCATCTATAAGCTTAATATTTTCTAGTAAATCAGATTAGACTTCTCTCTATTCATCCTGTAAAACCAGTAAGTACTAGATTGGTCTGACATTTAAGTACTCACCTGGTGCAATTTTTCACTTGCATTCTCAGGTTTATCTGTTCGCCTGTTTGTCTGTGACTTTCCTATCCATTGTACTTATGTCTTTTTTTTTTTTTGAGTTTGTTGGCTGACTGCATTTTCTTTGGCAGAAATGCTTTTTAAGGGAACTTGCTGTTTTCTTTCTAGAAGGGGGACATAAACTAGCAGGAGCACATTTAGCAAGTACATAAATTATTAAGGAAAGGTAATACAGCCCCACTTTGATACAGATAAGAAGCTTCACTTCAGAAAATACGAAGTGGAGGTATAGCCAATGGAGGAATGCCTGAAAAGGATCTCAATCTGTTAACTGGATTTAGAGCTCTGAACACTCTATGTTGCTTGAATCCTTGGTCTCTCATTTGTTGTATTGCTTTCTCTCACTTGAACCATGAGTCTTTTCCACGAGCTGCTGTTCTTCTGTATAATTCCAGGATGTCATGAAATTAGGCTTTACTTGATGAGTTGTTCTTTGCAGGGGGATTGCTGCTTTATAAGAGTTTGCAGACCTTCAGTGGAGCAGCAGAGTTCTGGTGAACAGGATTTCATGTTTGGAGATGCAGATCAATGTAAGCTGATGTCTCTGTAATTACAGCCTCTCCTGTACTGCAGCACAGAGGTTTGTTAGCTTTGTGGGGCGTCTTTTTGTTTTGTGTTTCTTTTCCAAGTAGGGTGAATTGCACAGTGTAGTATACTTCTCCTACAGCCTTGCACATGGAACATTTCTAAGGCAGAGAAGTTTTTGGCTTCACATGCTGCTTGCATAGCCTCAGACTTTGAGTTACCAGTGCCCAGTGGCTATTAGCAACTCACGTCGTGTATATAATGTTTTCTATCAATGGCTACTACGCTACTACTGTGCTGTTCATCTTCTAACTATTAAAGGTATAATTCCTAAGGAACTCATCTATAAATAACAGCCTACAAGGGACAAAGACTAAAATGTACATACAGTTAACAACCCTGTAAATATTTTAAGGAGGATCGTGGGAACGGTTTTTAGCTTAGTCCTCGTTGTTCCGTGTTACTAGCTCATTAAACCTTTTTCAAGCCTCTTGGTATCGGCTGTGTCTCTCCCTCCCACCGGGGCGGGCCCCGAAGCTCCGGGGGGCCCTCGGCTGAGGCGGCGCCGCCTCCCCGGGCCCGGCGAGGGGCGGAGGCGGGCGGCGGGGCGGGCCCGAAGCCGCCGGCAGCGGGCGGAAGAGGCGGCGGCCGCCATGAGCCGGCTGCGGGAGGAGGACGACCCCTACGTGGTGGAGGAGCCCAGCGACGAGGAGCGGGCGCTCAGCAGGTGCCTCACGGAGGGCAGGAGGGCGGCCGGGGGCTGCCGCTGACCGCGGGGGCGCGGAGGGGGGGGTGGCCTCCGTGGGGCTGTGGGTGGAAAACCGGGGGGGGGGGGGGCGCCTCCCAGTGTGTCCCCACGATCTGCGTGTTCGTTGCCCGAATTAGCCATTTCGTTAAGCTGGTGGTGGTGCTGAGATAACGCGTCCATCCCCGCAGCTCGGAGGATGAGGTGGACGTGCTGCTGCACGGCACTCCCGACCAGAAGCGGAAGCTGCTGCGCGAGTGCCTGACCGGGGAGAGCGAGTCCTCCAGCGACGATGAGTTCCAGAAGGAGATGGAGGCCGAGCTCAACACCACCCTGAGAAACATAGAAGGCAGATGGAAATCGCCAGAAACGGGTAAATCGCGCCTAACGCCTGCCTGTGCGTGAAACCGAGTGAGGGGGTGCCTGGTTAAGGAGCTGATGCCCTGTCACAGCGGGAGAGGGGCTTTGTGGTGCCAGCAGGGCGCTGTTTGCAGCCTGGGGAAAAATCTTAAAATGGCTGCAGAAACGGTCACTAGGTGCCACTTGCACAAATGCATCTGTTTTCATCCTTTTCTAAGACTTCTGTTGTTTCTGAACTTGTGATTTCCCGTTTTACCGTGAATTTTCTTTGTTTGATCTGTGCCCTCTTCCCCTGGTGTCTCTTTAACTTTGCACGTGTATTTGGGAGTCTCAGGAGCAGGTTGCAGCCTCTAGTGACTCTGGATGCTATCAGGATTTGGTGTCCTTTCTTGCACCCAAAAAAAAAGCATATGTTGGAGTGAGATCCCAAATCAGATGGGGAAAAGAATTAAGAAAAATACTCATCTCTTGCTCTCTTCAGTGCTTAAAATTACAAGTTACTTCAAATAGTAGAAGTGTGTTAAAGATTTACCTGTTCTGGAGTTTGTGTGCTATTTTGGGTGCAATAGATTGATTACTTTGGTATTGGAAGAGTGTATGTTCTAGTTTTGTACCTAGCACAAATGCATAGTGAGGTGTTTTAATTTCTGCAGGAATACGTGTAGTATTTATTTTAATGTAGGAACTTTATTCTGCATCCAGTAGGTTTCATAGTTTTTCTGTTTTAGTAGGCAAATCTGATCCTTAAGTTTTGGTTTTGCAATTAAGAGATGTAGAAATGTTTATACTGTTACATGCAGTATAAACATAGGGTTTTTGGTGTGGACCAACATGTGATAGCCAATCAATCTAGGCCTTTTATGAACTTCTGTGGTCCTGAAATGTAGCAAATTGGTTTGTTTGTTTGTTTTTTTTTGGTGAATTTTCCTTGTATCAAAGTTTATGACAATGTACCACATCTGTATTTCTTCTGCATGACGGACTAGAAGAAACCTTCCTTTGAACTGTACCAGGGGTTCGTCTCAGAGAAAGCGAGCAGTTCTACTCTGAGAGAGCACCTATAAATGAAATAGCACAAGTAGTGTGGATGATCAGGAGATGAGAGTAAATTGGGAGAACTGTTACTTAACACACCCAGAATGCTTCTGAGTAAACTAACTTGGAAATGTAGGTTTGTTCTGGACTATATATTAGTTATCCTTTTGCTGAGATGTTCTTACCACTTGTCTCTCCAATCATGCATATAGGTACTTCCTCCAGTACTGGGCAAACTGGACATGCCTCCACTTCAAAATACTACGATGACATTTACTTTGATTCTGATTCAGAAGAGGAAGATAAAATGGGTAAGTGACTGAGGAGAGGAGAAAGGAGGGCATTTTAAGAGGACTACCATCTCAGGTCTAGTAGAATCCTCACAGGGTGGTCAGGGACTCTGAAGAGAGCCCTTTGGGGACAATTACCAGCCTATATTATCTCAACAAAGTTCCTGCAAATTTATGATGTATGCCAATCTATGTAAGATGTCTTAGTCCTTTGGGGTGGTGCATTTGGAGTAGAGATGAGCTAGATCTTTGATTTAGTTTAGAGTTATTGCAGATGTTTTAAAGGAAAATGAAAAAAATCATTTTGATTTAGGTAGAGAATCATCTCATGTCCAACTGATGTAACGTGTACTTGCATAAATCTTTACAGTTACACAGGATGTCCAGAAAAAAAGAAAACATCAGCAACGTCGGATTCTTTCCAATGATGAGCTGTTATATGACCCAGAAGAAGACAATCGAGACCAAGCGTGGGTTGACTTACAGAGGAGGAGGTAAGAGATTGTAAATAATTGAATTGTAGGAGGCTTACCTGTTGTGGTTTAACCCTGCAGGCAACTCAGCACCACATAGCCATTTGCTCACTTCCCTATCCACAGTGGGATGTAGGAGTGAGCTTGGGGAGGAACAATAAAAACAAACAAACAAACAAAAAAAACCTCTTGTGGACTGAGATAAAGACAGTTTAATAGAACAGAAAAGGAAGGGAAAATAGTGATGATGATGATGATAAAAGAATATAGAAAGTAAGTAATGCACAATGCAATTGCTCATCACCTGCCAAACAATGCCCAGCCACTCCCCAAGCAGCAGCAGCCTTCCCCCTTTGCGCACCTCCCCGGCCAAGTTTTATTGCTCATTGTGAAGCCGTAAGGTATGGGACATCCCTGCAGCCACTCTGTGTCAGCTGTCCTGGCTCTGTCCCCTCCCAGCTCCTGGTGCACCTGATGCTGGCAGGGTGGTACCGGTGAGAGGCTGGAAAGTCCTTGGCTCTGTGTGAGCACTGCTCTGCAACAACTAAACTATCCGTGTGTTATCAGCATTATTCTCATCCCAAACCCAAAAAACAGCACCATGCCAGCTACTAGGAGGAAAATTAACTCTATCGCAGCCAAAAGAGGGCATTACCATAAACTGAAAAACTCCATTGAATGTGGTGACTACAGAAAAACGCTGTGAAGTCCACACCATGAGACTATTTTTGCCTTAGAATTTACAGTGTATGAAATTTAAAAGCCTGTAAAACTTCTATGTATATATAAAGAAAACTGACTCAAAATGACACAATTCTGAAACTTGAAGCTTTTCAAAAAAAGACCTAGTTCAGTAAGCCAGTTTTGTGTATAGATCTTATCAAAATTACCACAATGTTAATGAAAAAGTTGTAATACAAACAGAGCAAAGCTGCTTTAGCTGAGGGTTTTTTTTTGAAGGATGGATTAGAAAAATGCTTGTTGAAACAGAAGGGAAATGTAAATCTTGAAAAACACAACATTAATGTATGTTACCTGAAGAGATTGCACTTAAGATACCTGCCTTCTCACGGCAGATCATTATTGGGCAGAAGTCCCCATTAGATGTACATATGTCACCAAATGAGAATCCTCTGAACAAAATAAATGGAAAGATACTGCTGTGTGTTTTTTTTCTATGCATTGCTTATGTTTATGTGCTTTGAGTTAATGAAAAAGGTCTTGAGAAAGAGCCAGGTACATACTGATGTATCTTAATACAAAAAGGTTTTTAAGGTTGAATTGATGTGTGTGACAGCAAGGACACGTAATTTCACTTTTTCTGTCTTTCCTCCCTTCTCCAATTTGTAGTTATCGTAATCAAAGAAAAGGGCTGCGGCAACAACAGACAAAACCTTCAGCTGTTCCAAATAGCGATGCTGTTTTGAATTGCCCTGCCTGCATGACAACGTTATGCCTGGACTGTCAGAGGTAACTATTGAACAATAAGGGGTGTTCTTGCAATGCATCTCTTCTGGTTCAGTAGCATTTTTAGTGTATTCAATGGTTTGATGAATTGAGCCTTGCAAGGTGGAGCTAACAACAAGATGAATCAGATGTAGGAGTGAATTCCAGTTTATAGGAATGATAATGATCAGTTTAACATACAGCATGGAGATGAGGAAGAACAGGGAAGAACTTTAGTATAGTGGAGAAAGGTAAACTGTTAAAAAACATCATGGAGACTAAACAGGAAGTTCATGCCGATTTTTGCTCTTTAGAAAAATATGTTAGTTTGATGTTTAGAGATATCAAATTATTCCAGGTTAACTATTATTATGTGTTTAAGTGTAACTTTTAGTGTAGAATTAGGCAAAATCGGGAGAGTAGCATATTTTTACTTGCTTTAATGTGTTAGCAGTTGCAGTTTTGAGTACAGTTAAGTAGTACCTGGAAAGCATATTTTGCAGCTCTCCAGTATTTGACTGCACTGCAAACCTAATTACTATTGTTAACTTGTGCAAAGGAGGAGACTTTTGCACTGAGGGTAATGGAGAAAGAAATCCTGTGAAATGAGGAATAAGCTACCACAAATTTACTCAGTACTTTTGGTAGTTGAAGGCGAAATTCCTCAGCAGCCTAAAATCATCTAAATTCTGGGTGCTATTTTCCAGTCTCTTTCATTTGCTGGTTCTGGCGTTCCTTTACTGTTCTATAGTTGAGCATTTCAGTTTGCGAAGCTGACAGAAAACTGTTTTTACTGTCGGACTGGTCTTTTGTGAGTTTGATGAACTAAGATAACTCAGCACAGCATTGCACAAGCAGTAAAGCCCCAGAAGTCAAGATAGGACTTCTGCAGCCACCTATTATATTGGTTTAGGCTGCTCTAAAACTACAGCCTGAGAGACTTTGTGTTGATGCAGCCCTGAATTTGCTATGTGCTCCAGCTACGCGGTTGTTATGCAGATGACAGCTGAAAATCCGTTTTATTATAGGCAGGCTTTTTCAAGGGTGATGTGTCAATGTTTGTTATTTATAGGTAGAGAATTTCAGGCTTGCAACTCTAGTTTTGTGATTTTGGTAGTTGTGACTTCTCTTTGTAAACTTCATATTTATTTGGCCCTTTGACATGGTACTTGCTATGTTTAATCCTGTTTCTGGTGATGATAACCAATTTCTTGGAAGCAGAGTTTTATCAGTGGTATGACTTGCATTTTCTCCCCTTCTCCATAGACATGAATCCTACAAAACGCAGTACAGAGCAATGTTTGTAATGAACTGCTTTGTTAACAAAGAGGAAATTCTGAAATACAGAAAGAAGCTAAATAAAAGAAGCAAGAAAATGAAGCACAGCAAAGAAGCTACCTCTGTACAGTCCAATCAAGAAGAGGAAGAAGTGTATCATCCAGTGTTATGCACTGAATGTTCAACTGAGGTGGCAGTGATGGATAAAGACGAAGTTTTTCACTTCTTCAATGTTCTAGCCAGCCACAGCTAATACGTAACAGCAGCAAAAAAACCCCACCTGTACTGCTTAAGACAGTGTGAAGTACCAGAAATGCAGGCATGTTAGCATTTTTAAAATACGTTCTTTTTAATGTACATTTTAATTAGAGAACTTTATAGCGGTTGGGTTTTTGATACTGTTGTTGTGTTCCTTTTTATGAAAGGAATATGGTTAACTGCTTGCATTTGAAAACAATATTCTTTCACACGGTCAGGTGGTTGCATCACTGCGGATTTAAAGTTTTGTAAATAAAATGTAAGATCTATGTATTATGATCATTCCCTGTGTATATACTGTCCATTATCTCAATATGTGTTAGAACTGCTGCTTAGAATAAAGACAGTATAAACTGGTCCTGTGTAGCTGCATTCATCATTTCTAGGGTGCTGATAAACTCTGTAATTCTCAGTCAGGATGTTGGGCTCCCTTAGGCTGACATTCTTGGATGATACGCATAGATGTAGGTAAGATAAGGTATTGTCATTATATTTGGATTATTGGCTCATTAATTGAATTATTTATTTGTATAGATGGGAAAATTAGGTTATATCAAATTTGGCATGGATGATACTACCGGCATGGATCATTTAAATCGACATATTAATGCTTAGTAACACAATTAGGAACTTTTACTGTAAAGATGTATTTGGAAAAAAAATCCCCATTTTTTCTATTGTAGTTTTTCTTCATGGTGACACGTTTTAAGAATAAATTTATGGTCAGCTCTATTGCCATTAAGCTAGTTTGTATGCTCTTTCTTCAGTACAATTATGGCTTCTTTATGGAAGCATAAGTAGCTTCTGCTATAAGATATTGAGGCTTCTGGCTTGGTCAGTGAAGTCACTGTAATGTTAACATTGGATCCTTCTCTCTGCTTCTCCAGGCATACTCCCAGGAGGTGAACTCTTATTTTTTGTTAGTAAGTAATTTCTCTATAGTCTCATGTTTTTTAATGTTTCAACTTTAACAATGGCCTGTTTAAAAAAGCAATTTCATCTTTAAGCTTTTTTTCTTTTGATAGTACTGCGAAAAAATTGTTACGTCCTTTGAGAAATTGACGGAAATAGAGGTAGGAACCTGAAAAACATACCTATTTTGTGATTTAGATTACAATAAAATCATAGGACTCTTTGGTTACCTTCTGTAGTCCCTGGTGCTGTATTCTACACATACTGATCTACACATACTGATCTTATAGTGTTACATGAGCCCATGAGCCTACGAGGAAAACACCAAAGCTTCTGTTCTAGTGTCAGGATTGCATGAGGCAAGCACTATGGACAATAGAAGGGATGATATTGAGCTGGCTGGTGTATTGGTGGCCAGGTCATTTCAATTTTGCATTATTGCATGAGTAACTGTAGTAGGAAAGATATAAGAGGTGGCAGAGGTGAAGTTGGCCCTTGTTTAAAATTAAAAAAAATACAGTCTAAGTTTGATTAATGTTTTGGCCCTTCAAAAACCGAGTGCTGTGAGCCACAGTCTGCTGCTAGTTTGCCCCCAGAGACCTTGAGGAATTACATTGTAAGGGAAGATAAATGACCACCAGGTTCCTGTATTAGATGTATCTGGGATTAATGTAAAAGAAGCTGTGATAAAAGAACACCTGGAAAATGACAGTGAGCGGAGGTGGAGGTTCAGCAGGATGTAAAAAGGAAAATGGTCGGTGCAGCTGTTTAAGAGTAGTGTCACTGCCAGAGTAACCATTGTGTGGAGGCCAAAACTCAGAAGGACCTACTGGAAGTAAATTCTTTTAATACTTGAACATCACACAGGGTAGTGGACAACAGCTCCTGCAGTGCAGACTGGCACGATCTGTGCCTCTTCTGGCCCATTTTCAAAGCTCCCTGAACATCCCATGGGTTGGAACCAATGCAGTTAATTGCTTACTTTTGTTATTTGTTAATTGCTTTCGTGGACATTTGTTTTTTAGCAGATTTAATATCAGTTAGTTTTCTTGAAGGATTTTAGTACAAATATTAGTGTTCACATTTTTCTTTACAACTTTTCAAGGAAATCACTCACTGGTGATGATGGAGGGAAACACAAACCTTCAGAATTTTCGTCTTACTGGAATAAACAGCATGCAATTCTTGTAAAATTTGGGTAAAATACAGACATTGTACTTTCCAGTAAAAAGAAAATCAATCGCACTGCTCTTTGCAAGCTGTAAAAGTCTAGTTTTAGTACATAGCAACATTGATTTATATTTTTTTAATCATTCCAGAAGTTTAGCTGTATAAAGCTCAGGGCAGTTTGAGCTTGGCAGAAGAGTAAACGTTGTAAATGAATTTTATTATATTCAGAAGAATGATGGCTTCCATCTTGTTAGGGTGACCATGGAAATGCTGAAATTACTGCTTGCTTCTCAGGAAGCAGCTCAGAATACACGTGTATTTTTAACCATGATGCCTGCCTTCCTATTTCCAAATCAGCAGAAACTTAACTACAGCTTGATGAAAGAAGCAGTGAACTGTTGAGGTAGCTGCTGAGCACTTTGTTGGCCAGTGTGATTTACCCTTCTCTGCATGTGCAACCTACAACTAACATTGAGCCCTGCTTGTTTTGAGGCTTAAGATCTGCTTGAGATAAGATCTCCATCCCATTTTTCCTACCTCCAGACAGACTGATTAGTGGAGTGCCTGACTTGTAGGTTGACACCAATGATCCCATCTGAAGTGGGATAAGTTGTTACTATATGTTATGAATCTGGAGGCATACATGGAAAACTTTTAACATAAGACCTGTTCCTTCTTAAAACTGTGGAGGAGCAGATGTGATAGAAGATGTACTCTGTGCTGTAGGGCACACTGGCCATAATGTAGGTGTCTTTACAGTCCAGGGGCAGCATGAAAGTGCTGTGGAGCACCAGGCTAAGGGTCTTTGCTCTGGACTGCTGGAAATGTGAGTATGTGGGAATGTAGTTCGAGGGCTCAAGTGTCAGTGCCAGTGGTAGCAGGAGGAACAATAGATGATGGCAGTCCCGAAGCAGGGCTAGAATTGAGCTGGGAAAGGAGGGGAAGTAAATTCAGAGAAGTATTGTCTTTTATTTTATTTTTTTATTTTTTTTTTTAAGGATTTAAGTAAATATTAACAATTGCCTCCTGAGTACATACCGTTGTGAATAGGTGTAAGAGACTGGTGGATGTAGCAGGAAATCATGCAGCTGGTGTGCTTCTCGACATTACCTTTCTTCTCATATTGGGTACTTGCTGCTGCTTCTTGCTTGCCCTATCACTCAAATTGCAGTCCCACGCTTGCAAAGCGTGGGAGCAGGCAGAACTGGGACACATTTGCCCCATATCGCTACAGCTCACAGCTGTGAATGGGAGTAGTGCATTAGTTGTGCTGAAAACACCACTTGTCCTTGAACTTTGTGTGCCTTTATATAGAAAGGAGGCTTTCATAACTATCACTACTTTTTCAGGCAGTGGCACCAGCGCAAGACTACTCCAGTAACAATTGCAACAAGCAACAGCTGTCTTGGAAAGGGACAACAGTTCTTGTGGCCAGTTGTGTGGGGGTATTAATTGTGTCAATGCTCTCGTTTCTTCTTGTGCTGAAATAAATCTGCACAGAAAGTGTGTCTCAATGTATTCTGGACAGATTGAAACCCTTTTCAGCTCCTGTCACGTAAACAGATATGATATTCGGTTGTCTGCCAACTGGTTTTCTTTTGCACAGTTAGCTCCTAGTACTGTAGTTGCAACTGCAGCTGTGTAAATAATTAATACATACACCTTCCTGTGACTGTGTGTCCTTGCTTTCCATTGTAGGAACAGCACAGGTGAAGTTGGGGTGGGGTGCCTGCGAGAACAGAATTACGACACTCAGTGACATAATCTAAAATGGATTTAAGCAGGGTGGTTGCACTGGGTTGGTATCAGCTTCCCATCTCTGGTGCACGTGCTTGGCCCGTGAGGGAGGTCTTGGCTGGTGGCCTGGCCCCGGTGCTTAGAGGTTGCACCTTGTGCTCAGCTTAGTCACAGTGCCCGGCTTCCGTGTGTGGCCCTTTTAACCAGGTTTTTCATTTAAACTAGATTGGGGCCTTCTAAACTAGGTTGCCAATGGCCTTTCTAATCACGCAGTCCCAGGCCAATCTCAGAGTTTTTCTATATCTGAAGTCAACTAGCAGTCGGGGTTGGTTGTAACACCCTCTGGTGTGTGGCCACATTAGCCGTACAGAAGTGCAAAGTTAGCAACAGTTGCGGCACAAAGTTGATCCCTAGCAGCTTTTATTTTTCCCATTCCTGTGGGGTTAGCCTGGGCACCCAGCTCTGTCAGACTTGGAGGTCTCGTTGATCTGGGCGCCGCACGGCCCCCGGGGCTGCTCTGCCGGGGACGGCGCCCCCGCTGCGCCGCCGCCTCATGGCCGGGGCCGTGCCCAGCGCCTCCATTTCGGGCCGCCCGGCCCCGGAGGGCAGCGGGCGCCCGGGCGGGGCGCGGGGCCGGGCCTCGGCGGGGCCGGGCCCTTCGGCGGCGCCGGCGGCGGGAGGGCGGGTCCCGGGCAGCCACCGCCCCCCGTCACCGCTCGGCCTGGGCCCGGCGCGGAGCCAGCGGCGGGCGGGGAGAGCGCGGTGCGCGCCATGGCGCTGGGCTCGGCCTGGAAGCAGATGTCGTGGCTGTACTACCAGTACCTGCTGGTCACCGCGCTCTACATGCTGGAGCCCTGGGAGCGCACCGTCTTCAGTATCCTTCTGCCGGCGGCGGCGGCGCCGGGCCTGCCGGGCGGCTGCGGGGAGCGGGGAGCCGGGAGCCGGGAGCCGGGCTCGGGGAGCGGGCAGCGGGCAGCGGGCGGGGGCTGGCGCTGCCGGAGCCGGGCGGTCCCCGTCGTGCCGCTGCGCTGCCTGTCTGTCGGGAGTTGGGTCTCCTTTGTGTGTTTTTAGTATTCTGGTATTATTTTTTTCCTGGCTTGTAAGCCGGCACGCCGAGGGTTCTGGTTAGCACGAGCCTTCCCTCCGTGCGCGTGTTTTTGCCGAGTGGGTGTGCGCCGCCGCCGGGCTGCCTCGCGTCCTGGTCGCGCTTCGTCACGCGGCGATTTCGTGGAAGAGCGCTCGAGATCCTCGAGCTGCCAAATTTGTTTGTCTCGCTTGGAGTGGAAGAGGCTGACAGACGTGAAGGCACCTGTGTAAAAACTACTCCAAGGTTAGCTTCTTCAGCCAGCTCTCCCACGCAGGCAGTGCATCCCCTCAAGTGGTGTTGTGGCATCGCAAGTGCTTCTCTTCAGTGTGTCTGTTTTGGTCCTGGGTTAAAAGGATGTCTGGCGTGAGTGACCCCGAGCCACCTCCGGTTAATGTCAAGAGGCAAAGAGACAAATTAACCAAAACATTAACGTTGCTTACACCCAACATCTCGTGTTAGTTGTAGTGCAAGGCTGCTTTTCCTGGTCAGTTGTAAAGGAGCTGGCTCTCGTTACATAAAAGTGGTTTCCCAGGTTACAGCTGTGTGATGAGATTAGTTTTTCCTGTGTACAGTTTGTAAAAGTGGAGATAACCTACTATTTATTTGTTCTTGTATTTATAGACTTGCTGCACACAAATGTTTAGGTAGCAGCTCTTAATTATAAAAAAAAAAAATATACATTCCTGACTAAAGTACCTTCCTCTGTTTATGCCATGTCTGTATCAGTGAAAAATCCTCCACTATTGCTTCCCTTGTGAGTAGATCAGTCGTTAATATGTATTTTTTTCCTTTTGCATTAACTATACATCTTTTTAGCTTGGGCAAGGTATTTAAGCAAATGGAAGGTGTGTATGTGTGTTCGCATATTTTTATCAAATGCTCGTGTTGCAGGGAAGCAATTGCTGCTTAATTTAAAAACATCCTACGTGCCCCAAGTATCGTTTGCGATCTTAGTTCAGCAGAGCTGTTTTTGCCCCCAAACGGGGTGGTTTCGGTGTGGCTGGGCCAGGCCTGCCAGGTGCCGTGGGGACGCCGCACCGACGCGGTGGCCTTGGGAGCTGAGGGTGCGCCGACCTCCCGTGTGTGTCGCCAGCTCCTTGTGCTCCGGAGTCACTGCGAGCGCTGGTGCTGAAGCGTGGATTTATGGGCTGACCTTCATTTTAGTGTCTCGCGTTGTGCAATCTTCTGGGACTAAAAATACACCCAGAAGCTAGTACGCTCTAATAAGCACAATGAATGTCTCCACTCTGTCATGGGAAAGTCAGTGACAAAGCCTTTGTAACACACGTGCTGAGGTAACTTGATTTCTCAAAGTTAGGGAGCATGCGCAGCTCCTCTGATTTCACCTGTGGAAACTGAGTACTGTTAGCCAGTGTTATCTTGTTTGTTAATCTTCAGAGCCCTTCGTAGTGTTTCTGTCTAAGCTTACTGAATCTCTGCTGGTAGGCGGTTGAAATCAAGAGGCTGTTATTAATTGAGTGCGCTACTTTTGGATTTCTGGTCTTAAACTTTGAATGATGCGATCCTTCAGTAGTCTGGTGCCATGATTTCTGTAGATAAAGCTTTGAGAATCCTAGAGAAGGTCTAGTGGTACATGTATATTATAAGCTATACTCCTGCCATCTGACTTTCTACAAAAGGTCCTGATTTGGACTTCAACTAACAAAGTGGGCATCTTGAGATTGTTTAGCAGGTGTCTTCATGTGAGGCTTGTTTTGCAGATCTGCTATAGTAAAGTACTGATGAGTATCCCTTTATTTAAATGCACAACTTTACTCCAACCCTGATCCTCTGAGGCTTTGTGGCTGAAATAACTAGAAAGGTGCTTGTCACAACGTTACTCGTATTTTTCATTACCCCTGCAGATTTTTTGTTCTAAGTACTGTCAGGCAACACGCAAGTTGAGCTTTTTGCCCATTCTCAGTTCCCCGAGGCTTCCTACCACAGTGCAGCTCGTGTGCAGCTCGTCACTCGCTCCTACCAAGTGTTCTTGTTGTCAGTTTTCTGTTGCTTCTTTTACAGATGTATTTGTTGAATGCAGTTGACACGCTGTATTTTAAAAATATAACGTTGTAAGATAGTTAACAGGAAAGATACAATGCTATGCTTATGTGACTTCTAAGGCACTTTGTTTCAAATGCTGTCTTCCTTAACTGTGACTCAGATTCGATGCTGGTTTCCATCGTTGGAATGGCACTGTACACGGGCTATGTGTTCATGCCTCAGCACATCATGGCAATATTGCACTACTTTGAAATTGTGCAGTGATGAAGAACGTACTTTCAAGAAGTAATCATGCTCTGAAATCTGGTCTACAAAGAAGAATGAATCTCTTAGTTTTAACGAGACTTCTGCCGATGTCAAAAAAAAAAAAAAGAAAGACACAATGAGGATTCTGCAGACTAGGAAATGAGCTATGTAGAGCAGGGGCGTGAGATGTCCCCTATGTTGTGTTCATTCCTTTTGATTTTACAAGATTTGCCCTTGTATAGTAGTTTTGTCTACCTTAACATTGTGATTGTACTTTGATATCAGTATTTTCTTAACTTTGTGACAGTTTCAACATTGCACTGTGAAAGCTTTTCTTAATTGTAATTTTGAGTAAATCTTAATTGCCTTCTATTTTTAATCAGAAAGTCATCTTATTAAATGGGGCTTAAAGCTTTTGCTATTGTATGGTATGCATTGGCCTGGGTATTTCTATCAATGCGTTTTGTAAGAAAATACATCTAGATTCATATTAGAGACATGGATATATTCGTCTAACACTATTTACAAAAAATTAGTTTGTATGACTGAACTCAGGTGTACTGTTTTCTTGTCCAAACTTTGTTCAACAGTGTGTTTGTGCATATCACCTGAATTTGGAATTAGCAATTATTTTGAGTTTCTGTATTCCACCTGCTGGAGGAGGGTGGGAGAGAGAAAGCGTTGAGGCAGAGCGGAGGCTGCATTCATTATGTTTGAGTAGCGCTGGGGTTGTGGTCTTTTCATAGTGGGAACAAAAGGACTTTTCTTTGCTCACATAGGCCCACGTAAAGCTTTGGGACAGTACTTTAAATCAACACCTTTTCTAGCTACCAATTAAATTGTACTTTTACATAATTCTTTGTTACGTTCCAATGGCGATGGTTTCTGCTGATTTTCACTCAACAGTGTACCTGTCTGTATTTTAAGGGGGTTTTCTATTGCTGCTAGTGTTCCAAATGTGTTCTCGCTACAAATTACCAAAACATAGGGTTTTAAATGGACTCGAGTTACAACTACAGCAATAAGTAGCTGAATACTTGGCTGAAGTCCTGCCTTTTTTCTTTTTCTTTTTTTTTTTAATAGGGATTTTTTTCAGTTTTGTATTCTGATATGTATGGTGGTAACAACCTAACTTTCTTAAGTGGAGGACTTTTTTTGTTGTTGTTTAAAAAATAAAACTTTAAAAGCAGAGCTTGGATGCCAAACTTTCATTGAGAAGTTAATGTGTTTCTGAATACTGCTTACTTTTCTTCAAACTTTAAAAAATAAAACAAAACAAAGCAAACAAACAAACAAACAAACAAAAAAAAAACAAAACACAAACTGGTACTTGACCAAAAAATTGTGATTTTAATGCCCAGTAATAATAGGCATTTATATCTTTTATGCAACTTGTTTGGAAATCAAGAATTATACCCGAGTTGTACAACTAAACTGTTCTAAAAAGATACCGTGCTCTAGGTTTATATAGCTTTCTGGAAAGTACACCGACAGGAAAACAAAACTTCTCCATTTAAGTGCTTTGTGTATCTCTGAAAACCCCATCATCATCCTGAAGCTGTAAGCAGTGGGCCTTCAACTCCTTAGGTGCACCGAGTCTTTACTGCAGTCGGTAGAGGTCTCCCACTATTAGTGCCTTGCTTAAGGGTGGAATTTCTTATGAAAAGTACCTAAACAGCTAAATGCAAGTCTTGGTTGTGTCTTGGAGACAAAAATGCCATCTGCCACTTAGTCTGTGTCTGCTGAGAGGGATGCCCAAGCATCCCTGCCGAAGTGATGGTGTTATTGATTGGGTAAGGCCGAATCAGAGACCGCAGGCACGTGATCCTGCCTTTGCTCATTAAAAACTGGCTATGCAAGCGTGGGCAGTTCAGTGTTTCCTTAAAAGTGTATCCAGACATGTACATAGTATTTTAAATATATGTATATGGAGCTAATGAATAGTTAATGTACTCGTTTTGAAGTAGAGTAGTGCAACTTGCTGCTGTCCGTGGGTTAAATCGGTACTGGGATGTTTCTTTGTGAGCTGCCATTGTGGCTGAGACAAATCTACTGCTGAGAGAGGGCTGTAGTTGTGTGTGGGGGTAGGGGACAGCCCTCCCCTGCTGCAGCATTGTGAACCTTAAATGTGATTTTTAATTGCAAAGGGTTTTATAAAAGGGCTTTTGTATACTGACTTTTATTAGCTGTCTGCTTTTCGTTGTGGGGAGAAAAAGAGTAACCAGAGTCTAAACACTTGCATTGTGTCGGAGTGGGCCTGATCGATATTGTACTTGGATTCAATTTGCTAATTTGAGGAGTCATTTTCAGCAGTTCTCTTTTTACTTATAAATCAAGAATCTCCTAGAAGCGTTGGACTGTTTTAGATTTCAAATACTTTGTTAAAGATGAAATAATTTCATTAATAAAATACTTTATGTTGTATCTCTGGAAGGAGGTATCTGCAATGTGATTTTCCTAAAGTTGACCTAGTGATGGTTCAAGGTGGGATAATTGTGAAGCTGTGTAAGGTGTTTGTTAAGTAACGATGGTGGTAGGGGTTTAATTCATGGTTAAATTTGAATAATAAATGAATCGTAAGGCTACCAAGTTGTTTTCCTACTGCAGACTGCTTTATTGCCATGTTAGCTGAGGGATCAAATCCTTCATGTTATGTACTTGTAAGCTTTTTCTGTGCAAGGTGGATCTTGAAGACACCTTAAATACCTTTTGGAGGCAGCTGGTCAATTATGCTTTTGTTTTCAAGGGATAGTAACCCAGACATCGGTGTTTTAGATAAACTTGGGAAAGTTTAGACTAGTAACAGCTCTTGGGGTCTAGCTTGAGTCACCTAGAACATGTTTAAGAATGTACCAGCTGTGTCACAGCACCTCTGATAACACCGGCTCCATCAGACACCAGCTGCTGACAGCCAGCTGGGTGCCCCCTGCCCACCTGCTCCTGTGGTCAGCTCTGCCGGGGGGCCTGCCAGGCACAGGCTGGATCCCACAGAGACATCATCTAGAGCCTTTGGAGTGGGGGCTGCCATAACCACAGGAGGAAACTGCGGCAAGAAATCAAGCCAGAAGCAGGTCTGGGACGTATGTGCACATGCATGTGGGTTTGTATGTCTGTCCTGGGTCGATCATTATACATACATAGATATCTATCTATCTATATCTATAGATACAGATATAAATGCATAATTTCCATAACCATCATGGTCTTTAAAATGATGGGTTGTTTTTCCCCTTAAATAGATCAATGAATTGGATCCCCTACTGGTAGACAATACCTTCTTTTAACTTCTTCCTCAAAGATACTTTTCTAGGTTCATGGGATCTAGTCTGATCCCATGATCATACCTAGTTGTAATGTCTTTGGTGGTTGTGTGATTATTGTGTAGCACTTAATTTGGATATAAAGGCTGTTGTTTTCTGGATCTTAAGTAACTTGTGAAGGAAAACACCTGAGAATCCTAAAGCAAGACTTTCACTAAAATTTAGCAAGAAATACTAGTGGGGTTTTTTGTTTGTTCTAAAGACAAAAGCATACAGCTTTCTGTGTCATTTCCATTGTTTCTCTGTCGGATCTGCTATGGTCAGCCTTAAACAGAGTCATCGCTGAGCACAATAGCTGCTGTAGCTGCTGTCTTGTGTGTGTGTGTGTGTGTAATTGTGGTTTAAAGGAGAAAATCTGGCATTACAGTCCAGAACTTGATCAAGCTTTTTCTCCATGTATTGGGGACAAATAAAATTCTAGATCTGAAATATCCCAGAGTGGGATCACAGCAGACACACCTCTGCTTTCCTTACCAAATTCAGTATATCAAATTCAGTACATCAGCACAAGATCCTCCATCTGTCTAAACTGTCACAGCGTGATCGAAGTCTGAGAAACGATGACCAGCTACTCTCCCTGAGATATTCAAACCCTGATCCAATTTCTAAAGTATCAGTAATATCAAGTTATCTCTTCACAATACTTTTGCAATGGCAGCGTGTGTATTTCTCAAATGCCCTAAGTGCTTCCAGCGAAGCAGAATGGGGAATTACCTTATGCAACATCTTATCACTGAATGCTTAACACAATGTAAAATGCTGGGAGGCGGTCTTGGCTGGCAGTCAGGCTGTCCTGAGGTGGTTTTCCTGGTGAATCACTTTGTGGTGCTTTGTGGATTCCCTGAGCCGGTCTAGAGCACATGCTTTATAGTTTGGCTTGTTTGTGAGTGGGGTTCTTGCAATAAAAACCACCACCCCCCAAGAAAAAAAAGCAAAACAAAAACAACAACAAAAAATAAACCACCATCAAAAAAGCAAGCAAACAAACAAACAAAAAAAAACAGCTTTAAGGTGTAGAAAGCATTGGCTAGGCTTTCATTTTGTTGGTGGTAGTGCTTATTTTAATAGCAACTAAGATGATACACGTGTACAATTGATGAGCTGCATCTGTTTACGGATCAGGTATTTAGACCTTAAATAAGAGTGCATAGAAGCACACTTTATTTTGCAAAGAGGCCTTTCAAATATCAGGGGCTCTGTTTTACACCCACAACAGTACTTTACATTTTGCTGTTGCTCAGATCATAGTGCTGTGTGGCTCCAGATGCAAGTAGCTCCATGGTGCTTTGCAGTCTGTTAATGACTTTTTATTTAAAGACTTATTCCACTTTCCTATGCAGAGAGGGCCCTCCGCTAATTGCCTTCTTCATTCTGGAGGAATTTTTAAATGAGTTACTGTGATTCTAATCTAAACTTGGCTCGTTATGTGAAATCATAGGGACATATGATGGAATAACATCAAACGAGAGGCTGAAAATGAAAATTTTGTTTGTCTTTGGACAAATGTCAGGGTGAACAGGGGAATGAAAATTATTTTACAAGGCTTTTGGTTTCTGGGGAGCTTCAGCTCTCGCAGAATGGATGTTTCTAGTGTTTGGAGAAAATGTGGGGGTTATTTTCCTCAACAGAAAGCATAATCTTATTTTCAGGTGGCTGTGTTGAAATTTGACACAATCTGAAGCTGATCCTGGTGTTGAACCCCCAAATTTACCAGATGAAAAAGTAAATTACTCATGTAAACATAGCAGTTACCAAGGTAAGAACTTTTAGTTGCAGAAGAGTTGTTTTAAGAGGTGATAATAGCACCCTGGTTCTTGAGCTGCATGGTTGGACTGTGGACGTGTAGCCACGTGTGGGTTGGAGATCCTTCATGCCATAAAGGTACCTGCTAGCACTAGGAGGATGCCCCAAACTTCCTGCTCTAAGTTATCTTTGATAATTGGACCTAACATAATCAACACATCACCAATATTTGTATAGTTACAATATCAAGTATGATGCTTTTTTGTTTTTTTGTTTGCACACTCATCTGCAGGTGAAATTGTCTTGGCATATCTTGCATTTTGTGCTCCCAGCTATATTTGAGGCCCATATTTGAAGGTGAGGAAATGGCATACTACATAGCCCTCAGAAGAAGTCTTTGGGGGAAAGGAGTTGTCTTGGTGATGATTGATCTTATTTGGTGTGAAATTTGTTTGCTTTTTTTTGGGGTCTATTTAGGGGAAAAAAATGAACTATTCATGATCACGTAGGAATTTAAACCAAAAATCCTCTGGGCAATGCTTGTGTTCCTCTTCTGCTTCTGTTGTTCTCTTTTTCATTTGGATTGTTTTTCATTCAAGTTGTTTTTGATTCATATATTTCAAAGAGCAAGAAACGGATGCTTCAGAATATGGTTTTGAATGTTGCTGCTTAATACACACCAGTAACACTATGAAATTCTGGAAGGTGTCTTTGCATAATATTCTTTCTGCCATTATGGGATTGTGATGTCTGCTCATCTGAGGAGTTAGTCAAATTCAGACCAAGTGTGGCTTTGGATGTCTAGTTACCGATACCAGATTTATAACAGCATGTTCCTCTGCTTATGTTACATTACTGACTCAAAATTAACATTTTGGAGAAAAAGCCCAGAGTATTGCATCCCAGGACTAGAAAAATTATATGCTTTGGTAGTACTTGCTGAATTTCAGTCAGAATTATCAGATAGTTTCCAAACTCAGGGTTAGCTTAGTGGATGACTATGAAAATCTTTCTTGTTCATTAATATTGTTCAAAATAAATAAAAAAAAGCCTTCAACACATATCCTGTGTAGTACAGTATTCCAGTAGACTAGACAAAAACGTAGTGCTCAAATCAGATTGACAGAGTATAACATGCATGATTTATC